ATTATTATTATTTATTATTATTATTATTATTATTATTATTATTATTATTGTTACTATTGTTATTATTACCAATTATTATTATTATTATTTTTATTATTATTACTATTATTATTAATTTTTATCACCGTCATTACTGATATGTTATTATATTTTCATGAATATGTTAATCTCTTCCTTTCCTTGATTATTAATATTATTATTATTATTATTTCAATACCACAAAATTTTATTACTATTTCAGATATTTCAGTATCAAATATCATTATTGCAATTATCACTTTATTATGTTTCAGCATTTTTCATCTGTTTTTTTTCTTTCCTTTGCCTGTTTGTTGTTCACAAATAAAATTTCTATTCTTATTTTTGCGAAATTTTGATGGAGCAAAGATTATTTTACATTTATATGACATTTTTTCATTTTTGCATATTTGCATAACAAATATTTAATATATCAATGTTATAATAGAGCTTATTTTATATCCAATAAAAATTGTTTACTTTTGGTTATTTTTTTCTTTTTAGAGACATTCAAGACCAAAAATAAACAATTTTCATTGGATTCTTCTTTTTAATTTTTTTTTATTTACATTCTTTGTTAATGCTATTTGCATGGTTGATTAGATTTGCACACCTATATGTAGCGTTAAGGTATGATTTCATTTTCATCACCATTCATCTTTTTTTTTCTTCTTTTGAAATCTGAATTCAGATTTCAAAATTTTTAAATATTGAAAAGAAAATTCGTTTAAAATAGCCAGCCATAGATAGCTTATATTTTGGTGGATAAAAATGTGCCAGTAATTACTGAGACAAATTAATTTTTAATGATAAAATTAACTTGAATTTAATTTTTTTTCTAAATTTAATCAATCATTTCTTATTTGCCACTCACTTCATTACATTTCTTCGTTCCTTTTTGTCGATAGTTTTTGAAATTTATCGATTTCATTAATTGATTTTAAATGTGATCATTTTTCTTCCAACAATATATCAAGCATATTTTGAAAAATGTTAAATTAATTTTATAGTATATTTGTTGACAAAAGTTATTTGGTGGCTAATAGATTGCAATGTTGATGACAGTAATTGTTAATAAAAGTAGCACTGATAACGGTAATGATGACGATGATGGTGGCGGTGATAGTAGTAGCAGTATCAATAATCCCAATTGATAATAACCTTTTTTCTCTTTATTTTATAATTATGATAATCATTTGTTAATGATAATAATGATATAGGCAAAATTTTGATTATATTCAATTGCGTCCAAGAATAGTATTAAATGCAATAATTATAGCTGTTTTATTTACGATCAGAATATCTTTTCCTTTTTTTGTAGAAGAAAGAAGGTGACAAAAATTAATAAAAACCTTATGTACATTGTTTGTTCAAGCATAGCTCAATTCATTTTGTCAAATTTTAAAATGTCGAAACGAAAGCAAAAAAAAATCTCAATGGGCGAGCAATAATGAATTTGAGAATGAACTGATTATTTAATGATAAGTGATGAGAGAAAAAGTCTTCATTTATCACTTAATTATTAGTGTTGGTGATATGTATGTATCGTTTGTTTGATCGAAACTTTATCTTTATTATCTACAATTATTATTTATTTATAATTGCAGTATTATGATTATCACAATGATAATTATTTAGCTAATATATCTATAATAACCATCGTAATGATAATTGTTAATTAACACATCTGTAATATTGGCTTCATTTTTAGTTTTGGTGAAATAAACTGGAAAATTTTTTAAAATTAAAAATTAATCCAACAAAATGTGTACAAATATAAATACTAAAGTTAACATTTTTTTTGTAACATTTCACATTGATCCATAAATTTTAGCTAAATATTCTAGGATATTCTTTCATAATAATCAATTATGGTTAAAGCAATTCGAATTTAATATTAAATTAATTATCGATAAAACTGAAATAATTTATTGGTATATATCCATCAGATTTGCTCGAATTTGCGCTAGTACAAACGTAACATGTCACCGATATATCATTAGTCCCCGTAGTTATCAAAATTTTTACCTGTACAGCAAGCATAACATATTATCAATATGTCATTAGCGCCCATAATCATCAAGATTTTACCTGTACAGCAAGCATAACATATCATCAATATGTCATTAGCGCCCATAATCATCAAG